AAGGACCAGATATGCATGAGAACTGCACTGGTTGTTAGGAATTGAAGTAACACGAAATCGCGAGAGTCGCACCCTTTCCCTATCCCAAAAATCATATCTCAACTCCATCATTTGACATTTCGGTTTTGAAGAGTTAAAACCTGTGTCCAATCCAATGGAGCCCAGTGCTAAGCTACACTCTGGTCAGTCCCCATCTACAGGCACTGAATATGCGGCTATGAAGCACATCCCTTACCACGAAGCTGTTGGGTCCCTAATGTATGTGTCCCTGGGTAGTCGCCCCGATATTTCATATGCCGTCACCACTGTCTCTCACTTCTCCAGCAACCCTGGCAGTGCACATTGGGATGCTGTGTGCTGCATATACTGATACCTTGCGGGTACAAAAGAGTTAAAGTTGATGTATGGAGGAGTAGAAAGTGTGCTGACAGGATATGCGGATGCGGATGGAAGCATGGTGGAAGATAGACGTGCAGTCTCAGGGTACACTTTCTTGATTGATGGAGGAGCATTTTCCTGGTCATCAAAATGCCAAGAAATCATGTCATTATCTACCACTGAAAGCGAGTATATTGCAGTGACGCACGCCACCAAGGAAGCCCTATGGCTGCGCTCCCTCATTGGACAGCTTTTTGAACCGTTCACAGAGCCCATCACTCTCTTTTCCGATAATCAATCAGCAATCACTTTAACAAAAGACCACCAGTATCATGCACGAACCAAGCATATTGACATCAGATTTCACTTCATCCATTGGATAATCGAGGAAGGAAAACTCAGACTCATTTTTTGTCCTGCTGTCGACATGGTTGCTGATACCCTCACCAAAGCGCTGCCATCACCCAAGGTCAAGCATTTTGCCTCCCAACTCAGACTACGCGCAGCTTGAGGGGGAGTGTTGGAATAACAAGTGTGCCTGCAGCCAAGGCAGCGCCATTGTTCGCTCTTGTTTCATTTATCATTTCCAGCAACTCGTATCTTTCAATTGTGCCTTCTTGTCTTTCCGTTTATCCTTTTGTACTTACTGAATCCCTTTTGATTGCTTGGGCCAGTGCCCCATATCTCTTGTTACAGTCTCATTTATTCAGGTGCAGTTTGGACAACGACTCCGGGTTCAAAATTCCTGGTTCAAACCGCACATGATGACCGCATGTGATAGATTCAGATGGTGTGATAAATAATCGATAATATGTAATAATGTAGCATATGTATGCATGTCATATCCATCGCTGCACCCATGGATCTTGAAGCACAAACGCAACACAATCGACAACACAAAATCATGGTTATTATCATTACAGTTGTGGTCGCTCAAGTCGCACATCTATACCATCTTTTATTCTTATCCCACGCTGAAAGAATTCCTTACCACACATTCATCCTTACTGGCCAAGCATGGGTATATGAACTGATCAGTGGTCACCCAGACAGGATCAGACACAACTTCGGCATTGACCTTCAAATTTTTGATGAGTTGTTAGCAGTTCTTAACCAACATGGCTTCATCCAGTCCTGGAATGGGGTAACCATGTCAGAGCAACTTGGTATCTTTTTGTACACGTGTGTTACTGGACTCTTGTCTTGCCATGTCGGAGAAAGATTCCAGCACTCTCCTGACACGATTACAAGGTAAGTATGCCTACCTTTTTATATAACTAATAGTGTGCTGATTTTTGCAGATATTTTAAATGCATGCTCATGTTATTTTCATCAGCTCCCTTCTACACCTCAAACATCCGCTTCCCGGATCACAACACCCCACTTTCTGCAGCAATTCACACTGACCCACGATTCCGATTCTTCAATCACTGTATTGGTGCTGTTGACAGCACCCATATCCACGTTTTTGCGCCACTTGAAGACCATGTTGTCCTGCGCAACCGGAAAGGCTTCTTATCGCAGTACTGCCTGTTTATCTGCAACCTCGACTTTTTTTTCATTTACTCGCTCACAGGGTGGGATGGCTCAGTTGCTGATGCTTCCCTTTGGAATGACGTGTGCTCTCATGATTTGCGCATGCCTGAACACAAGTATCTTCTAGCTGACGCCAGCTTCAGTATGTGCGACGTGCTTCTTGTGCCTTATCAAGGTGTGCGCTACCACCTGAAGGAATGGTGCCAAGCTAATCTTGCATGAGTTCATTTTTTCTTAGTCTGTCTGTCTATTAATTTTTTTCTAGGCCTAAAGACCCAAAAGAGTTGTTCAACTTGCGACATGCTGCACTATGCAACATAATTGAACGGATATTTGGCATTATGAAGCGGCAATGGCGCATTTTAATATGCGTGCCTGAATACTCCATGGATATCCAGTCCCGGATCCCAGCAGCGCTTTGCGCCATTCACAACTTCATGCGAAGAACCAATGGTGATATATTTGATCTTGCCCTCAAGTACGAGCATGATCTTGCAGAGGATGATGGTGTTGGATCTGGGCCTGGCGCACATTCAGAGGGACCGGCGGATGCTGCTGAGCGCAGACGAGCAGATGCTCATAGGGACGCAATTGCACAAGCGATGTGGACTGATTATCTCGCAGAACGTGCACAAAGGGGACTCCCATTGCCATAGTTGTAGGTAATACATGAATTCTGTACCATGAAATGGTCTTGCTACAACACAATCATATATTCTTGCGAGTCAACTGATCGCTGTGGTGCACCACCGCAAAGCACTCGCTTCTCTTCCAACCACTTAAGCCTTGTCACCTCATCCAACGAGTAGAAAATGATCACCTGGTTCTCGTGTTCAGCTAGAAAGTTGGCAATGCCCAAGCACTCTTTGCTCATGAGGTTTGTATATTTATTGAGGAGGGAAATGGTGCTCCCAACATGTGTGGAAGGCTGTGGCTGCACTGGCGGCAGCACTGGGGCTAACACAAGATTCTTCTGCATCTCACGCACTACTTCAATGAGGCTCTTCATCATTTCAGTACCCTCCTGCTGTGCCAATAGTGTGGCAGATGGTGGCCGACTTCGCTTCTGGGAGCCTGGAACTGATGCAGGAGAAAGCACGCTGTGTTTTCGCTTTCCACAGCTTATGCTTGTCCATGCTGAGCCACCAGCAGAGGTAGACCCTTCAGTGGAAGGAGTGAGAAAGGTAGATGGAGGAATAGGTGGCTCAAGGTCCACTGAGGATGGTGGCGGCCCTGGAAGTTCATTATCTGTGGCTGGGGGGATGGAGGATAGTGTGTTGGCATTGGTGGCGGTGGTAGGTCGGAAGATGTACGAGCCTTTTGACTTGCTTGGCATCAACTGCTACATGATATCGAGGTGGTTGAAGCCCTTTGTTATGAAGGGCTTTGCGTGAGGATGTGACTGAAAACAATGTCAGTAGAGGGGCATGCATGCAGTCTATTGTGATGACTTACCTTTGTAAAGTGTGCCCAGACATCATCCTTTCTGTCCATGATACCCACTCCATGCTCATCACTCAAAGTAAAACCTGATGTACACTTGATTTCAATGACACTTTGGTATGCTTTCTTTAACTATAAAAATATATGTCATTGATTTGCTGGCAGCTGAAAGTTCACTGGAAACATACCGCTGTCCATTTATTCCTGCAAACTCCACCACTCTTTTCTGCACCCCTTTGATGTGGGTGTTTTGTCTTGAGGTGTGCAGATGCTTCATTGAAGGTGGTCAACTTGAAGCCTCCATCGCCTGATGAAGGAAGGGCCTGCAGAAGGAACTTGAGAAGGGTAGTTTCCTCCACCTTTGACCACACCGCAGGAGCCTTCCTGATCGTTCCACCAGATGCAGCAGCCGATGTCACATCTATAGTATCTTGAGAACATAGGGAGTGTGAAGAGCCACTGCTTGATTTATCAGACATTGTGGTGATAGAGTATCTTTTGTTTTATCAGATGCTTATTGACGCAGTCAGGTGATCATGTGCAGTGATCATGTGCAGTTTGAACCAGGAATTTTGAACCTGGGGTTGTTGTCCAAACTGCACCTTATTCATTCACACAAGGTCACTTGAAGCCTATTTAGTTCACGCAGATTTCATACTCAAACCTCAGATGTTTGCATTCATGCGCAACAACTGAGGTAAGACACACTATTACCTTACTTTTACCTTTACTCACACTACGTCAGAGTATCATACCTTTTGCCTGCCCTCGGTGACCATCAGCAATGATAGATTCAATACCGAAGCCATGAATGTGATAGAAAGCCACTGGGATGCCAGTATCTTGTGCTGCAATCTCAAAAATTTGCCGAAAAAGCATCAAATGAGCCTTGGCTGTTTGAGAGCATCATAGCATGAGCTGAGACTACAGCTATCAAATCTCAGGAAGAATGAAGACAAACAATGTTTAAGAAACTTACACCGCATATGATCATCATCCCAGGATTCTATCTCAAACTCTTGCCATCCTTGGACATGCTTGAATGATGTGTCTATAGACAAGCGCTTCGAAGAAAGGAGGTGTTGTGACATGCGACTTGTCATACAAATGACCAGACGAAGGCCCAAGTCTGCATTAGGTATGTCATGCATCTCCACACAACGAATATATTGTCATTCAAGCAGAAGCATTTTTTGCTCATCAGCAAGTAACTTGGCACCTAGAGAGCTAATGTGAGAATCATTGAGCAACAACAGCAAAAACTCACCATCAAATCCAGTCCCATGAGGGAAATGGTCCATGTGCATAACATTTATCAGCCATCGTACATGATCGAGATTTCCAAGAGATGGATGTGTTAGAATAACCAAGTGAAGCAAGTCACAAGTGAGCTAATGAGAGTGAACAGGACTATAGTCCAGTGTCAGTTGCTATTGTGTTGTGTAAACTAATGAGTGTACTATACCTATAGTCCAGTGTCAGTTGCTGAAGAGCAACCAACACAGGACTTGCTACCTATGGGCGAGTCTATGTAAACAAGTGTAAACACTACCAAAGTAAGTAAGGAATTCACATCACACGCTAAGTGAGAGTCCAATAGAGGAAGCAACATCATAACACAAATAACTCGCACCATAAGGTGCTCAATCACCACAACTAACATTTTGACGTCCGTTATGAGAATCACTGAGAGAGTATTGTAAATTAGACTTTGGGTGGATAAATGAGTCGGGATTGGGGTCAACATGGAAGATGTGAGCAACTGCATGACCTGGTGCAGAACCAGTTTGAGGATACTTGACAATTGCACTAAGAGGATGCTCAATGATCACGTCGACACTAGTTTTGCAGTTGATGTTGTTGCAGCCCTGTGCAACTTCATTTGTGGTGAATAAATGAACAGGTGGTGGATGGTAGCATGCAGCAATAACCTCTTGTGATGGATTTACTGGTTGTTGTACTGACATGGAAGGAGCAGCAGGCGAAGCATTACGAGAAGGAGGTAAGTTAGTGTTGAGATCAAGAGGTGAAAGACCAGCATTATCAAGTATCTCCTGTGCAGCCTTGAGAGCAGCAAGTTGCACATCAGACAGGTTTGACATGAGAAATGAGGGTATGCCATTGTGATGAGTATTGGGGCCTTAAGTATGAATCTACTACATGGATGACAGATTTTGCATGAAGTTAGTATTGGAGAGATTCACAATAAGTGTTGCCTAATTTGGACAATATCAAGGTGTTGGCCCATACTAGCACCTCATGCCAGTATCCTTCTTCACTGTTCAATTGCTCAGCCAGTCTGCCAAGGATGTGGCAACACATGGTACATGGCCAATTTCAAGACACAATGCAGTGTTAGAATAACCAAGTGAACCAAGCCACAAGTGAGCTAATGAGAGTGAACAGGACTATAGTCCAGTGTCAGTTGCTATTGTGTTGTATAAACTAATGAGTGTACTATACCTATAGTCCAGTGTCAGTTGCTAAAGAGCAACCAACACAGGACTTGCTACCTATGGGCGAGTCTATGTAAACAAGTGTAAACACTACCAAAGTAAGTAAGGAATTCACATCACATGCTAAGTAAGAGTCCAATAGAGGAAGCAACATCATAACACAAATAACTCGTACCATAAGGTGCTCAATCACCACAACTAACATGCAGCCTAACACCATCCCAACCATGGAACTAATGTTCGGGCCCGTAAGTTTCATTAATTGATATGAATATTGATGCAGTGTCAGTCCAAGTCCAAGACACTTGCTGATGGTTCAGTTTCACTAAGGTATGCTTGGGGAAGCTCCCAAGAGCGCAGCCCGTTATAGAGACTAGCCCCATTGCTCCATTGCAGCCCATGGTGGATGGACGAGCAATTCAACACTTATTCTGTGAGTTGTAGATCCCTCTTGGCATTTTGACTTCAATATTGAAACCTTGACACCAATCTCTTCCCTTATTTGCGGTTCACAATTTCAACATGTGAGTTTGCTTCAATTCCTAGTACTTCTCTTGCTTCTCGCTGATGCCAAGTTTAACATGCTGCTGCTGTGTCTCCCAAATGACATACAACCTAATATACCAGTACTGACACTGTTGCTCATTCCCAGCTAATTTGTAAGTTTGTTCTTGGTCTTCTAATTCACCCTGACATTGAGCATGATTAGTTGCTGCCACCACCTGTAAATCAAAGCCGCCACCACTATATAAACTGGTAGGTTGCAGGCATTTACTCTATTTAATTTTTGTCTCAACTTGAACTGCTATCTTCACAGTCGTGCATCCTTTGTCTACAAACATGGTTCCCTGCATCAACCCTGTATTTCACCCCTGCATTGCTGTGCAGCGCGCTACCAATGAACTCGTTGTGTATGCTCAAGAAGTCGATAAGGTTGTGACTATCACCTAGTAAGTTTTACTCTGTTGCTCATCTGTTCTTTTCCTTTGCTCACAAAATTTTGTTAGCCTGCAGACTGCCCAAGGGTACTGTGTTACGCTGCAGGGCTTTTTTTACTGGCTTGAGCGGTGTGGTCTCACATTCGACTGTTTCTGCAGCCTCGTTTTCCAGCCAGCCCACTCCAGCGCGCTTTGTCCATGAGTTCATCTCTGGACATGTTGTTGTGCACTGCAACGACATAGACAATTGCTGCAGTTTCTACTGTAGGTCTACATTTTTTCCCTTCATCTTCCAAGTCCCTCACAGCCCAATCAGTAAACTTAACTAACATTCAAGCCACCGCCTCATTAGCTTCATGCTACAAAAACATCCTCACATGCTGTAAGTGAGAAAATGTACTCAAAATGCTTTTTCTCAGTACTCTTGTAGGGCACGGTGGGATTCTAGATCTACCTGCACTCATTGCAACTTTCCGCAATACATTCAGACAACAACCTTACAACTTGATCAAAGTAGCCCCAGTATTTACTGGCTACTGCAGCATTCATAAAAGCATTTTCCCTGGGTACCCTCAGCTTCGTGGTGGCATTGACCACTCTGCAAGATGTGCACTGACCCCACAGAGGCCTCGCAAAGTCATTCACCATCGTTATCATCAACCATGTGAGTATTTGGACCCAAATAATACACATATCACTCAATGTTACTATAAGACACCATCACTCCATCCAAAGTTTCTCTCACTTGCCAGTCTTCAGCCTCAGTTGCATCTCATGAGTTTGCAGGACTGTCTCGTTCAATTAAGCAGTGGCTATCTGCGCATGAGATGGATGTATTAGCTAGTCTTTCGATGGGGATGGGAGTTAGTTGCAAAGATAGCTTTGGAATGATGGAGACATGTGATGGATGCAGTAGGGTACTTGTTTGGAGTGCACTGAATGCCCTGTTAGTTGTGGTGATTGAGCACCTTATGGTGCGAGTTATTTGTGTTATGATGTTGCTTCCTCTATTGGACTCTTACTTAGCATGTGATGTGAATTCCTTACTTACTTAGGCAGTGTTTACACTTGTTTACATAGACTCGCCCATAGGTAGCAAGTCCTGTGTTGGTTGCTCTTTAGCAACTGACACTGGACTATAGTCCTGTTCACTCTCATTAGCTCACTTGTGGCTTGGTTCACTTGGTTATTCTAACAGGTTATGAGCCCTGCGCTTTAAGGACCTCAAGTCATTCATTCCTCATCCAACTACTGCTCCACTCCTTCCCCAGTGTATTCCATCGCATTCTACGCCCCAGGAAACCCTGATCCTTGTGTCTGAGCACCATTTGGACTGTTGGAACACCCATTGTGTTGCTTTTCAGTAGTGCAACCAAGTGGCTTTGTTGAAATTTTCCATAGCCCCTTTTGGTCATCTACCCCCTGTCCCTCACTCCCACCCCTGTCGCTCCCTGTCCTGTCCATTGCTTCCTGAACGTCCTGCATCATCCTAGACCGTCCTACTTGCCACCCAATCCCTTGCTATGTCACCCATGACTATCACTCAACTCAGCTCTTCCAACTATCTTATCTGGAGATCAGAGATGGAGTCTTACCTGCGCTCCAAGGGCTTGTGGCTGCTTGTCAGTGGCTCTGAGAAGCGTCCTGCAGACTCACAGCCTGAGGCACAGGCTGTATGGGACCTTAAGGCTGACCAAGCTGCTGGGGAACTCTATCTGGCTTGCCCATTGGAGACGAGGTCACAGATTGATGCTATTGAAGATCATCCTGTGCTTATCTGGTCTACCCTTGCCTCCCTGTACTCTAGACAGCGTCGTAGCAGGAGGAAGAAGACAAAGAAGCTCTCCAGGAAGACTCAGAGTCTCACAGACCCCACTGCATCGCCCTCTCCCACTTCCTTTCCTATTCCTATCAACTCTACCATCATTGAGTTTGCTGGCACTGCTTGTCTTCGCTCTTTTGACCCTTCAAGCACCATCTGTCCCCTTCAACTTGATGCTACTGTCGACTGGAATGCAGACACAGGTGCCACATCCCACATGACCCCTCATCGTCACTGGCTTCGCAATTACACCCAGTCATTGATGGCAAGAGCGTTAGACCTGTCGAGTTTTCAAGAGTCTTGCATGTCCCTGACCTTCGCAACAACCTGCTCTCTGTCCTCTACCTCACTCGCCACAGTGGCTTCCATGTCACCATTGACTCCACCAAGATGTCATTTCAGCGTCCTGCAGGCACCACATTGTTTGTTGCACCCATCAGCAGCAGCAATGCAGCATTCTTAGATGGCTCCACCATCCCTCTCTCTGAATATGCCTCTGCAGCGACCACTCTACCTCTGGACTTGGACCTATGGCACAGGAGACTCGCCCACCATAACTTAGCAGGTGTCAAGAAGCTTATTGATCATGACATGGTCACTGGACTCAAGCTAGATTCAAAGAAGATGCCAGATCCCATCTGTGAGCCATGCTTAGCTGGCAAGATGCATGCAAACCCATTCCCCTCGTCTCAATGGCGTGCTACCCGACCTCTGGAGCTTGTCCACACCGATGTGCATAAGGTCCCCTACCCCAGCTTCTCTGGCTATCGCTATTGGGTCACATTCATTGACGACTTCTCTCGATTTCGCTTTGTGCTCCCTATTAAAGCTAAGTCTGATGTCTTTGAGGCTTTCAAGACATTCAAGGCCTATGCTGAGAACCAGTCTGAGCGAAAGCTCAAGATCCTCAGAGATGACAAGGGAGGGGAGTACATGAGCAATGCCTTCATTGAATTCACCACCCAGTGTGGCATTGAGAGGCAGCACACTGTTCGTGCTAGACCACAGCAGAATGGGGTTGCTGAGAGAGCTAACAGAGTCCTCTCTGAGTGACTCACTGCTATGCTGGACGAGTCTGGGCTTCCCAAGGCCTTCTGGGGCGAATGCCTTGCTGCTCTGGTCCATGTCTGGAACAGATGCCCTACCGAAGCTGTAGACAGCGCTACACCCTATGAGCTGTGGCATGGTAATAAGCCTGATGTCTCACATCTTCGAGTTTGGGGATGCACTGCCTATGTGCACGTCCAGAGGGACAAGAGAGATGGACTTGGCTCCCACATGGAAAAGTGCGTCTTCATTGGCTACCCTGCTGGCTACAAGGGCTGGAAGTTCTACAACCCCACCTCCAAGAAGACAATCATCTGTGAAAGGGCTGACTTTGATGAAAGATACTTCCCTCTGTCCAAGCGCCCATCCAGTCCATCCATTCCAGCTCCCATCGCTCCAGCACCTCCTGTCAATGCTCCCCATCCTCCCAGACAGTCGAAGACTACCTCTGAGCCCCCAGCAGCGCCCTCCTATTACTATCCTCCTCATTCAGATGACTCTGACTCTGACTCTGACTATGATGAGTCCAGTTCTGATGAGTCACTGGATCAAGGGGGAGATGTGGTCCCTCCAGCAGTTCCTGATGTCCCTCCTGTCGTCCCTGTTCCTGATCCAGTCACTCCTCCTCCTGCAGCTCGTCCCAATCCACCTCCTAGACCACCGTCTCCCATAGGCATTGGTGCCAGACTCCCTCGACGCAACAGGCAACCTCCCAGAGACTGGTGGAAGCTCTCTCCAGCTCAGCTGACTGATGTTGTTGATGATGAGACTGAGGATGCTGACTTTGCTCAAGGATTTGAGCTTGCCTTGTCTACCAGCTCTTCCACCGAGCCATTGTC